GACCGAAGTAATTCTTGGTTTACCACCTGCAATATCTATAAGCAGCGGTGCCAGTGTTAAACCCCGTTTTATTGGCCATAAAATTGCGCGACTTTGCCCTAATTTAACCGACCTCATATCTCTAATACCAAAGATATCTCTGGTTAGAAAAATAGACACACTGTATATTTTTTGTATGATCCTGTATAATATGTTTTAAAAGTGTGTTTTCACGTGCGCCATAATTGTAGTGTCTGTTTCGAAAGAAATAATGACGTCAATAGCTATATTTTACATAAAATCGCATAATTCAAGATAAAATCGTAGTGGGCTGCGATATTCAAAAAATCTCAAAAACGTCCCGAGGTACCAAGGTACTCTTCTAAACTGCATACCAAAAATTTACTTAACCCTCCCTCCAGCAGAATGGGGTGAACCCAAACTTTCGCCAAAAATTCGCCTACTTATGTTTCACCCTGTATCTTTTAGCAGGTGGCCGGAAATCTGTTAGGAACTGGAAATTAAATAGTAATTAGAGCATCCTTTCACTCCTGAAAGTTTGAACAAAATCGGCCTGCTAGTTTTTGAGTTATAGCTTTTCAAAAAGTGACCAAAAATTGGGGTGTTCGAGTTCAATTGACGCGTAGTTTAGTTCAATGATGACTTAAAATCAATGAGAGAAATTTTTAACTTTTTAAGAGAACTTTCAATTCAATATCCTTCACCAGATACCAAACAACAATACATAAATTACAAAAAATCTAAATCTTATTGGTTTTCTATAAAAAAAGCTAAAATAGAAGCTAATAATCTTACTAATAATAATCTAAAGTCCAACAAATACCATTTTAAAGTCACATGATTTTTCTCTATCCTTGTTGAATACATATAAAACAGCGGTGATGGTAAAATTGAAAAAAAAATTGGTGTCTAATTATTGTTCATAATATTCTTACCTGAAATAGAAAAAGTTATTTCGAAAATGATACAACGTACAAACACAAACACAGCTAATAATTTTGACTATCTGGACTGTGGAATCTGACTGTGGAAATTTCTCCACAGTTATCGATTCAAGTTTTCGATTGTCGATTCGATTTGAGTTACAGAATAGACCTATATTTTAACCTTTTTTCAACTCGAAAAGAAGCAAATAGAAAACGGCAGGCCTATCAGCCAATCCAAAACACATGACTTTGACAAGGAAACAAAAAGCTTGTGTGCAGTGTTGCAAGGTTGCTTTCATAAAGAGTAATAGGTTCGTCTTTAAAATGGGACTTCATGCTACTTTTTTTTTCCATGAATAAATAATTATTTGAGATTAACTTTTAATAGTGTTATTCTTCTATAAAAAATAAAACTCGTGATTCGTAAAAAAAGTAGGTATTGAGCATAGCTTAATATGACATTTTTACATGTAAAAACGTCATTTTAAGCTATAGTTATCGTTAAACCTCCCCTAATATGGTCGGTGCAAACGGCCATAAACTAATGATATATTTGGATAATGATTTGGACAGGCCCTACGATTCTCATCTTAAAACTATAAAAATGAACTCAGAACTTCTTTAAGGATATAAAAAATTGATATCGTTAATGATACGAGCAGAAACTGCATAACAAAACATATAATAAAAAGGTAATACAATTTTTAAAAAGGTAAAAAGGTAATAAACTCCTCTGAAAAGTAACAGATCTGTTACAATTGTAATAGACTGGCAGCACTGCTTGTGTGTCTCTTGGCGGACATTTTAGTTTAGGTTTGACAGCACCTTGCTCGGCACCTTGGTTAGTCGCCTATCCAAAATACATGACTTTGACAAGAAAACAAAGTGTTTGTGTGCCTCTTGGCGGACATTTTCATTTAAGTTTGACAGCATTCTGGATAGTCTAATTCTCTACGAACAGCAACTACATAGCAACCAGCAACCAATTCAAGTTCAGAATGTATTACAACGGACAGCAGATGCGACAAAAGTGGGTCTCGCAGCAATTGCAAATTGCAAGTATCTTCTGATTGGTCAATACCTTTCAATACTACTTCAGGAACGCGTTTGTAAAATGCTAGTGGAAACATATCCTAAAATTCAATAGTATTTAACCACCAGTAGCTTTTTGTAGGTGATATCAACGACATAATCAATGAACATACGTTTTTTGCCACCAATATCACGTGACTCTAAAATGGTATTTGTCGGACTTTAATTATAGTCCAAGAGCCCAGAGCCGCCAGACACAACTTATTTTCTAAAGGACAGAATATGTGGGATTGAGTAGCACTTATAGGTACTATGAACGTATGTATATTCGCTAAGTTGGGTAGACGGCCAATTCACTGTTATTTGTAAATAACGGTTTTTCCTATCATGGGAAAAACCTAATCCCATTTCTACTCTAGCCTAGAGTAGACTGTAAGTTTAAGAGTGGGAAATCAGTTGACATTGATATCTCGCTCACTCTCAAACGCATGCATAGTACCCTCGCGCTTACACTCCCGGAAAAATTATTTTGCGTCTGGGGGGATGTTTGGCCGGTGCGATTGGTCTGGCTGAGCACACGTAGTTATGAAATGGTCTCCCCAATACCATATATAAAAATCAAGCGTTAGAACAAAAGTTAAAGCTTTCTTCAGCTTTCGCACCTGATGTTGGTAAATTGGCCGTCTACCCAACTTAGCGGGTATCCATACGTTCATAGTACATATAAGTGCTACACAATCCCACATATTCTGTCCTTTAGAAAATAAGTTGTGTCTGGCGGCTCTGGGCTCTTGGACTATTAGAAGTGCCACAAATCCACACAAATCCCACAAAGTGTATGTGGAACATTATCAATAGCAAAGGAAGGTAGGTATCAAGTTAAAAGTCTGAAATACCAAATATTTCACCTAATCAACTCAATGATTTCTTTATAAATGTAGGACTTGAATTACAAGCATAAATTGGTGTTTCAGATGTTGACCCTGTGATATACTTGGATGTCTTGAGTTAAGGTTCGCCAGTATCAACTAAATGCCAAGAAGTTAAGCAACCAGTTCTATCAAAAGTCTTTATTGAATTGAATTATTCGAGGAATTATTTAAATTGATGCAGTTTACATGAAGGCAAGATGTTTCTAATTTTAAGTACAATTATATTTACAATATTTACAACTTCTAACCTTAGTCTGCCCAGCGACTCTGTGTCTACGGGGCAACGGTGAGGAGAATGCAGTTGTAAAAAAAATGGCCGATTTCATTCATAAAATACCCAGCTGCGTGCGGAACTTTTTGGAAATATAATATTGTATTGCAACTCGTACACGAAAATTGACAATAATGACCAAATCCCGGCCACTAGATATTTCAATATAAATCGATATTCCAAGATGGGAGGATACAATGACAGGAGTCCTGGCCAATGGTGAGATGTAAGGTGACGTTAGCCCACTGACAACCGCATGATTCCCTGTGGCAACGGCGATTCTGCCAAAAACTCTACCAATCAGGTTCATCCAGGCTGGATGCTTCCCAAATTGACAAAAGCTGAGAGTATCTTTGGAAAATGTTCATTTTTTATATTAAACAAAATTGAAGAAATCAGTTATTAAAATAATAATAGATCCAACAACCACGTTAGAATCTTTAGCGTTTCATTGTTATCTATATTTTGTTATTAAAAAATGGATTTTCACATGAACTATATTTCATACCTAATATTTTTGCTTTTTTATAATTAAACGCGGCAACATCGCACATTTACGTCCGAATTCCTTCCGTAGACTCAGAACTGCTGGGCAGACAATATATAATCTATCACCTACGTCACATATCTTTACGTGATATTTGAGGGTTGCTGAATAACAAGGTTGCCCTTGATTCTGTAACGTTGAACTAATAACAATATTTGTATCTAACCTGAATCCAGCACAACCCACTTTCTTTTATTCAAGGAGTACCTGAAAGCATTTTTCATTTTCAGGATGCTACCTATAACGAGGTTCAATAATTCAATTCAATTCAATAAAACTTTATTGTCCTTATTCTTAGCAAAATCACTGACAAAGCAAAAGGTACAAAGTAAGTTTTAAAAACTATACATAAAAGGCAGGTAATAAATTTTCATGTGCTAAATAACATATTATTAAGTTTGCGACCTTGTACTTCCATAGGGTTTTTAGTTAGGGGTGTTTTTTAGGGGTAATTTGCGGTTTATGGAGAACGCTGCTCAAAGGGATAATCCAATAGCAAAAAGTTTTAAATGATTGTTGTAGCTGAAGTTTTTTGCTATAAAAAACTCCACGACAGCACCCCTTTATCTTCTATAGTTTTTTTTTCTGCAGCGCCTTGAATAGTAGCATGTTTTTGTTCAAGGTCACTGAATCAGCGTTTCGCCTGTTTGCGCGCATTTGGTGCAGCAGCGACCGAATGTATAATCCGATTTTAATTATTCAAATACCACATTGTTACTAATGAAATGCTCTCTCTATTGCTTTTTTGGCTCGAAAATTAAACGAGCACGAACTCGCCTAATATGCTAGAAAGTTGTAAATTGCATCCAAAACTACCCCTTTCTTGCATTCACTGTAATTTCTAAACGGGACCAAATATTTGGTGACAGTTTTCAATAATGCAAATAGTTTAGATCCAAGATGACCAATGACTATGTAATCAATCTTTGGTCTAAAACTCTTTATAGGCTTTTGGCACTTTGATTTTCCCGAGGATTTTCCTTAAACTTTTATATCTGGCATCATGTTGGTAATCTATATGTATATCGTTAATAGTGCTTGTGTAGATCAATATAATAATATGAAACTTTTTCTAATTTTAAAATATTTTCAAGGATAGGATTTTGAATGTGCCTGGGGTATCCTCGATTTCAATTTCAAGCCGAATTAGGAGTCCATGCTGTCAACACCAAAACAGTTTTTAATTTTTTAAATGAATTGAGTCACTTCATTGTCGCTACTATTTAGAGCTTTTAAATCACAAAAATATTATCAATTACAACTATCTGAAATCTTTTATAATTTTTTTCCAGGTAACTGAAACCGACACTTTTCCCAATCAGATCTGCCAGATATGCTATCAAACCCTAGAATCAGCACTCGTTTTTCGTATACAAATAATAACTTCAAACATAGAACTTGGAAAAAGAAACCAGATTGGAGTTTTTAATGATTCCGAAATAATCATTAAAGAATCTAAAGAAATTATTGTAAATAATGGCAACACGAATCACATACCAGATCTTGATTCAGAAGTAAAGGATGAAAGTGAAAAAATAATAAACAATGTTGACAAAAGTGAAGAGAGTGGAAGTGATTGGAATATTAATAATGATGATGATATTTCATCAGATGAAAATGACAAACCAAAACGCAGAAAAAGAAAATCTTTTAGACAATCAATTAAAGAAGAATCTGAATCTGATACTTCAACGTCTAGCGATAGCGATTCGGATATTCCTTTAGACGAGTTACGGAAAGAAATGAAATCGGAATCAAAAGCGGGGAAAAAGTATGAAAAACCTGACAACGCCGATGGTCCTAGGCTGTGTCCAATTTGCGGTAAACTATTCAAGGCACGACAAAACTTTAACTCACACATGACGACGGTGCACAGGAAGAAACTGAAAAAACCGGACAAGATGAGCTTTTTATGTCCGGATTGCGGCCGGGTGATTTCAGGCACTCGACAAAATTTCGTAGCGCACAGAAGATATCACCATTCAGATAAAGCCCAAGTTAAAAAGCGATTCACCTGCGACATTTGCCCCAAGAAGTTTTACATGGAAAAAAATTTAATAATCCATCAAAGAATCCACAAAGGCGAAAAAGGCTACATTTGCGAAATTTGCCCGGATAAATCCTACACACAAATAGGAGGTTTAATATTGCACATGCGTAAAGTGCACTTGAAAAAGCCCACGTGCACGTGTAATTACTGCGGCAAGCAATTTTACGAAAAACATTATTTGGAAACTCATATCAGACAGTGGCATACGGGCGAAAGACCGTTTTCCTGTGAAATTTGCGGCAAAGCCTTCAGTTGTAATGGCACTTTGTTGAGGCATAGGAAAGATAGTCACGGTGAGAAACGTCCCTGTCCCAAGTGTGGAAAAATGTACACCGAAGGTGAACTTAGGAAACATTTGAAAAGGCATAAAATTCGCGAGGAGGGCATTAAAAGGAAAAAGTACACTTGCGAATATTGCGGTACCGAAATGAATTTTACTTCTAGGAAGAGGCATTTGTTGAAGCAACACGGAATCATGTTGAGAGGTAAGATTTTTATATGGAAAGTAATTTGTACTAGAGTATTGAAACGAAATTCACAGTATTTTTGTCTTAGTGATACTTTCACTCACCAGGCTTCAACCAGCTTGATAAATTATTGTTTTAGGTCGTGGAGAGACTGCCGAACGAGTGCCAATTTCACGCGCTGATGCAATGTGAAGATTCAATTTTTTAAAAGTCTGATCAATTACATATTGTGCATTTTTGAAGCTTTCAGTATATTTTTAAGTATTTTATCTTTATCGTAGCCTAATAGAAACAAAGAAGGAGGCACAATTCACATTGAAAATAGGCCCTCGTAAATTTCAACCAAATTTTAATATTTTAATGGTATCATCATTGCAAGAAAACATTTGAAATGTAAAGAGGATCGTATGTCTGTGATAGCAGATATAGCTCATCAAAGTACGTAGGTCCTGCTATGCTATGCATAGGAAATATCCAAGGAAATATCGCTACGTAGATTTTCTTGGATATCTCGAAAAATACTAATCTAGTTAGGGAGACGACCGCATTTTTCCTACCCCGATCGAGTTATGCGTCGACACTATTATCAATATATAGTATTATGTGCATCTATTAACCAGTATTCCTGCCTGAGAGCAAATGCTGCCGAAAATATCTTTTAACAAATTATTAACAAATTGAAAAAAACGTAACACTACCCCCATCGAGTTATGCCCTAAGTCGATCCTGCCTCGTGAGAACTTGCCGGAAGAGGGTGGCAGGGCAGCTTATTGGGGCAAGGGCCCGCGGTCTCAGCTTTGACACCTATCAAGTTTTACCCTGAATGATGTGTCAAATTAAAGGTGTTAATAAGTTGATTCAAGGTCTCTTCGCACAGAAATCCCAAACCAGAAGGAATGATTTTCATTGGTTGAAACTTGTTTCCTGACTGTTTCCAACCAATGAAATTCGCTCTGACTGGTTTGTGATTTCTGTGCGAATAGACCTTAAATCAACTTATTGACACCTTTAATTTGACACATCATGTGCAAAGCTTGATAGGTGTCAAAGCAGAGACCGCGGGCCCTTGCCCCAATAAGCCGTCCTGCCACCGTTTTCGGGCAAGTTCTCACGAGGCAGGATCGACTTTTTGGATAGGGGGCATCGAGACCTTCAATCTGATACCCTACTTAGGGCATAACTCGATGGGGGTAGTGTTACGTTTTTTTCAATTTGTTAATAATTTGTTAAAAGATATTTCCGGCAGCATTTGCTCTCAGGCAGGAATACTGGTTAATAGATGCACATAATACTATATATTGATAATAGTGTCGACACATAACTCGATCGGGGTAGGAAAAATGCGGTCGTCTCCCAGACTAATCCTATTTTGACCTTTTTGGAGTTTGATACCTGCAAAAGGACCCCAAAAACTTCAAAATCGGATTAGTATTTTTCCAGATATTTAAGAAAATCTACGTAGGCATATTTCCTCGGATATTTCCTATCCATAGCATAGCAGGACCTACGTACTTTGATGAGATGTATCTGCTATCACAGACATGATCCTCTTTACATTTTAAATTTGTTTTTGCAATGATATTAGAATTTGGTTGAAATTTACGGGGGCCTATTTTCAATGGTAATTGTGCCTCCTTCTTTATACACTATTTATTATTTATTTTTTATTTTCAATACATTTTCTGATGTAAATGGGTATTTTTTAATTTGATACAAAGTGAAATTTCCAGAAGTTACACTGTAAGTATATAAAGTAAAGTCCACAGTCCACAGCACCTGAGCACAGGAGGATAAGGGATTTAAACTGAAACTATTGACCGCCCGCGCCCGCACCACGCTCTTTGCGTGAACAAACACGACTTCTCCGGCTCCGCATTATTTGTTGTCTTTGTCTAGTCAACAGGCTATTTAGTATTTCTTAATTATTCTAGCATGGTCTAATTCAATGAAAAATTCTTGTCCATACAGGTTTTTTTGGAAATGGTCAACTCAGTGGCGGCTAGTGAGAGGAAAAGTTGGCGGTGCACACACTCAGGAGGGGTGAAGCCCCAGAGGCGCGCACATTTTTTTGGACTGACCCAAACTAACCCAAATTTTGATCTAAAAGTTGTAAAAAAAACACGCCTCGAATTTTTTTTTCATTTATTCTCAATTCAAACGTGGGCATTTACCATTTCTACAAAATAATAAATGAAGCACGGGCGGAGTACGAGAAATTTATTAAAACAGTTTTATATAAAATAAAACATAAGGCACCATACAAATCAAATAGGAATCAAACTTATAAAAAATATTTACTGCATTGTCTTTCCAGACGAAACTGACTCCTGTGCGGTGCGGCAAGCGCTTCAAAGAAATATGCCGACAAAGATGCCGCGACGCTGCTAAAAAATATGCACAATGTCCGCGAACCGACTCTCAAATTAAATTGCCGCAAAAACTAATCCGGGCCGTTTGATCCAGGTGGCCCCGTTTGTACGTATTAAAACAGCTGGTTACTGGGAGCGCGGCGTGACCTTCTCCAATGTAATTGCCGTGTTGCAGCGGGGCCGTTGTGAGATGGACTCGGAGGGATAGTCCAGCTAGTTTAGTTTAGTCAGTCGCTTGCATTATTGTCTAGGAAATTTAGTAATAATAACGATAGAAATTTTTCCGTCGGGATCAAATTATAAACTGAACTATTGAACTAAAAAAAAAAAAAAAAAATTTTAAAAGGACCGACATATTTTGCGCCAGTGCCACGGCCCCTTCGCCCCTTAGGGCCAGCCGCCACTGGGTCTTGTATTGAAGCTTGGTGTCTTCAAGTTGGGGGGTATGTTTGGGCCCGCACTATATTTTTTCTGTATTTTCAAAATGTGCGCGGGTAACTTTTGGGGTACTTTCTTACGAAGGGTGAACGACCTTCGTGTTATCGATCGAGATTTTCTGTTTCACAGAATGTGTGCGAGAGACGTCCCAGACAGTACTATTTTGCAGTAGAGACAATATAGACCTCGTTTTATTTCTTTATCTATATTGTGAAACTTGCACAAAGAAAACTATTTCTTTTATTAAGAGTTAATACTTGTTTTAAGTTTTTGATTTGTTTATTAAAAAGTTAATAAAGAATTTCTTTACTGGTCAAAATAGTTTGAAGTTACTTAACATAAGAAAATTACAAACACTTCTAATGACTGGAATCTTGTTTGAAGAAATTTCCTTATTTCAACAAAGTCCTGTATTTCATGGGGCTTGCTTAGCGATTTTTCGTGAAGCTTGTTGCTTTCCAGTGGCGGATCCAGGCTTAGAATTATCAACAATGATTTTTTGAAAATTTATTTTTAATTTACTATACTTCATAGTACTTCGAGCATTCATACTGAACGGTTGTGCTTTCGTTCGGCAGCTCCCGCGAGTATTGCAAATTTGATTTGTTTTGACTTAGTTTGTTTTGACTTGATTTGTTTTGTTTGCACACATCGTTGTGTTCGTTTTCGTTGTGCGTGTATTTTATAAACTTGACCTAGTTACCTTGTTATTGATCCAGTTCTTTAAAGTTATTTAAACTTATTATAATGGCCGATTTCAAATGCGATTCCTGCCAAAAAGCCGTCTCTGAGAAAAACAAATACAAACTTCGCTGTAGTGGTGAGTGTCGCCGGTATTTCTGCATGAACTGCACTGGCTTGGACAAAACAACTACAAAAGTCCTTTACCAACAGAAGTACCACAACATTAGATTCTTCTGCAGTGTTTGTGATTCCCCTACATTGAAATACCTGCATGATAAAGTGACACATCTACATAATTCCCAGATTTCTATGGAAAATGTCGAAGCTCTCGGAGCCTGTTTAAAAAAAAAACAATGACCTTCTTCCTGTCATTACAGAAATTTACGACATTTTGAGTAGTCACGACTCCGTATGGAAGCAACTGAACGAAAAAATAGATGACATTCACAGCCACCAAACCAAAATCTCGGACAATGGACAAGAATCTCTATTCAAATCTATAAGAGAAATGAAACAAGATATTTTTAATTTGTCATCTGTTTTCATGGACAATCATGATGAATCTATTAAGATCCAGGTACATGATACATCAAAAAATGAATTAATAAAGTAAATAGGTGATTTGCGTAAAAATATTGATCAGATGTCACTTATGATGGAAAAATTAGCTCCTAAAGATAAACCCAGGTACACTTTATCTGTTAGGACAATTAGGTCATGTCCTACGGGCCACTAGAAGATGAAAGGCCAACTGCTGGCCTTTAATTTATAATATAAAATATAAAAGCCCACTATATTAAAAACATCGACTTGTTTAGTCGCAGGACTAGCACATATTTCAATACTCTATTCCTATAATTCACACTGCACAAGCACATTTGGTGTGGCCAGAGTGCACTGCCTAACGTCACAATGCTCTGGAATCGCTCCGCTCGCTCCATCGAGCATCAATCTGGAACACTTAAAGTCACTGAGCTGCGCTGACTCGCCGTCGCGTCATTAGCGCAGCACGGGCACTTGGCAACTGGCAACGACTACAGCAGGAACCTGTTAGTGTTTGCGCTAAGCCGTTTGTTGTTTGTTCCAGGATCTATTTATATAGGGTGGGGCACGAAAAACTTCCCACCCAGGTTTTCTCAGGTGTTAGGTGTTTAATCAAAAATCGCTCGGACACGTCAATTATTTTTGTTTTTTGGGGAACACATTTTTTTGGTACTTTCACCTAATACCTGTAAGCCCTTAAGCGGGGGTGACCCATAGAGAAATATAATAAACCAAGGTAAGAGTACCTGATTGATAACATGAAAGTTTGTATAGCGCTGACGTCACAGCGACGGTGGCGTCAATAGTGGCAGCCGGAACAAATACTGAAATGGCGGGAATTTTGAAATTTGACTTGAGTTCATTGCACAAAAAACTTACTTATGTTGTTCCACATCTGGTTCAGTTTATCCTAGTTGTACATAATATTATAGGTACGCGATACCGAGTGCCTTAATAAAAATGACAATTTCTTCTTCTTGTTCTTTAGATTTTGTGAGTTCAAGTCTTCTTAGACGACCGCCCAATCAGTTAAAAATGACAAATTTCAACACGGAAATGTCGTTATTTTAAGGTTACTTATTTGTTTTCTCGGTGACAGTTTCTATAGTTATGGATGTTTGATAGGTTTCTACAAAACAGCTAGGAAAGCTCTGTAACTCATACGGTGTCCTTGTCTTGTGAATTGCTATGACAGAGAAAGATGAAACAGAATCGAATGATCGGACTGATCTTTCGTAAGTCTCTAGCTTTCCAAAAATTCCGCAATGCGCTATGCGCAACCGGATGCGCAGTAATAGTATAACCTATTTCGGCTATACTTTTGAAGGTCTTTTTATTTTTTATTGTCTATGGGGTGACCCCAAAATTTTAATAGGAAAGGTGGGTCGAGTAAAACGTCATTTGGTAGATAATTTTATAAAGATTATATCCCAAAAGTTTTAAGCTGCGTATCGATTTCCCGCGGCAAACTGTCGAACATTGGCTCGCGCGGAAGCCGCGCTCAATGGATACTACTTGCCGCGCGAGCCAACCCGTGCTCGAACACGCCGCGGTGCGAACCAATTTTTGTCGGTTTTTGGAGCGCGGCAAAGGAAATGCTCGCACTAAGTTGAGACGCATGTGTTATAATCGAGTTGGATAGCGCGGCAAAATGACGTTTTGCGGCAGGTTGCTCGTGCACTTGAAACGTCCATGGTTGCTTCGCGAAAACTAAACAAACATCTGGATCGCATCCCGCGAGCTGCAGCCGCGCTAACAAAGTTCGTGTCTCAAGTGGCTCGCGCGGCAAATGAAGGTTTTTTGCCGCGCGCGGCTGCCTCGCGAAATCGATACGCGGCTTTAAGTTGCTACTATTTACCCTGCCGAAATGGTGGCTTGTGGCTTGTCAAAGTAAAGTTAGGAAAAATGCTTTCTTCTGAGTATTTGAACTGTGTGGTTTCTACCACATAATAACAAAACAACAGTTTTTTTAAGGGTATCTATCTATAGTAATGAAATACCATTGGTATTTAATTTAAGTATTGTCATTCAACAGTTCAGCTTGAAATGATTCATGTTTATTCACTTGAAAAATCTGTTTTGTTATTATGAGGTAAAAACACACAAATTTGACAAGCCGTCATTTCGACAGGGTGCATAGTAGCAACTTGAAACTTTGGGAATATAGTCTTAATAAAAATAGCTATCAAATGGCGTATCACTCGACCCCCTTTTCCTATTGAAATTTTGAGGGTACCTGTCACCCCCGCTTAGGGGTTTACAGGTAGGGGGTGAAAATACTAATGAAAGATGTTCCCCAAAAAACAAAAATTGACGTATCCGAGTAATTTTTAATTAATCACCTAACACCTGAGATAATCTGAGTGGGAAGTTTTTCGTGCCCCACCCTGTATAAGTGTGATCGTGTGATTTACAACTTTACGAATTTCTACGTGTTAACTAAAATCTTTGAGAATCGCATACGATTCTGTTCGACTGTTCCTGAAATATAGTGTTATTTTTTTGGTCATGGTGTATAATAAAAGCTATGAAATATTTTTTAGTGGTTTTTTTAGTAGTTTGAAATCGTCTGAATGATTTTATTCAACCCCATAAAAAAGAACAATCACTCATGAAAGGCCATACCAAATA